AAAGTGGCGACAGTTGCGCAGATCGCAGCCCCGCAGGGCACCGCGAACACAGGAGAGAAGAAGGAGGAGAGGGCGGGAGGTGGATACCACAGTGCTCTATTCAAAACGAGTATCCAACACAAGGAGGGTTGGGAAAAATCAGCGAACCGACACCAGATGTGTATTAAGTTGACACGTTCTGATAGGGGGCCTCCTGGGGCCTACTGGGAGCCTCCTGGGAATCTCCTGCGGACCCCTGGGGCCTGTCCTGGGCGTCCTGCGGCTTCCTGAAGCTCCCTGGGGCCTCCTGGGGCTCCCAGGGTCCCAGGGAGGATATGTAAGATGTGGTCTTCTGGGCCCCCAGGCTGGACCACCTCTTGCGCAGCATCTGAGAGCTCAGAGTTGCGAGAATGTCTTGTGCGAAACGGGCCAGACCACCTTGCGCACGGCATCTCAGAGCTCAGAGTGGCGAAGATGTCTCAGGCGAGATGGGCCGGACCACCTCGCGCAGGGCATCTCGGAGCCCAGAGTCGCGAGGATGTCTCGGGCGAAACGTGCTGCGAGGAAGTCTCAGGCGAAACGGGCCGGACCACCTCGAGCGCGGCGTCTCAGAGCTCCGAGTTGCGTGGGCCTCCTGGGGCCTCCTGGGGCCTCCTGGTGACCTCCTGGGGCTTCCTCCTGGGCCTCCTGTGGCCTCCTGGACCCCACCTGGGGCTTCCTGAAGCCTCTTGGGGCTCCCAGGGGGATATCTAACATGTGGCCGTCGGGGCTTCCAAAATGGGGGGGGCCACAAGAGCAGGAAAGATCAACGAATCCACACCGGATTTGTATTAACTTGACACGTTCTGATAGGGGGCCTCCTGGGGCCTCCTGGGAGCCTCCTGGGAATCTCCTGCGGACCCCTGGGGCCTGCCCTGGGCGTCCTGCGGCTTCCTGAAGCTCTCTGGGGCCTCCTGGGGCTCCCAGGGTCCCAGGGGGGATATGTAACATGTGGTCGTCTGGGCCCCCAGGCTGGACCACCTCTTGCGCGGCTTCTGGGAGCGCAGAGTTGCGAGAATATCTTGTGCGAAACGGGCCGGACCACCTTGCGCACGGCATCTCAGGGCTCAGAGTTGCGATGATGTCTCAGGCGAGACGGGCCAGTGTCTCGGGCGAAACGTGCTGCGAGGAAGTCTCAGGCGAAACGGGCCGGGCCACCTCGAGCGCGGCGTCTCAGAGCTCCGAGTTGCGGGGGCCTCCTGGTGCCTCCTGGGGCCTCCTGGGGACCTCCTGGGGCTTCCTCCTGGGCCTCCTGTGGCCTCCTGGACCCCACCTGGGGCTTCCTGAAGCCTCTTGGGGCTCCCAGGGGAGATATCTAATCTGTGGCCGCTTGGGCTCCTTAAAATAGAGGGGGGGGGCCACAAGAGCAGGAAAGATCAACGAATCCACACCGGATTTGTATTAACTTGACACGTTCTGATAGGGGGCCTCCTGGGGCCTCCTGGGAGCCTCCTGGGAATCTCCTGCGGACCCCTGGGGCCTGTCCTGGGCGTCCTGCGGCCTCCTGGAGCTCTCTGGGGCCTCCTGGGGCTCCCAGGGTCCCAAGGAGGATATGTAACATGTGGTCGTCTGGGCCCCCAGGCTGGACCACCTCTTGCGCGGCATCTGGGAGCTCAGAATTGCGAGAATGTCTTGTGCGAAACAGGCCGGACCACTTTGCGCACGGCATCTCAGAGCTCAGAGTTGCGAGAATGTCTTGTGCGAAACGGGCCGGACCACCTCGCGCAGGGCATCTTAGAGCTCAGAAGTTCGAGGATGTATCAGGCGGGCTCCCAGGGTCCCAGGGAGGATATGTAACATGTGGTCTCCTGGGCCCTCAGGCTGGACCACCTTTTGCGCGGCATCTGAGAGCTCAGAATTGTGAAAATGTCTTGTGCGAAACAGGCCGGACCACCTTGCGCACGGCATCTCAGAGCTCAGAGTGGCGAGGATGTCTCAGGCGAGACGGGCCGGACCACCTCGCGCAAGGCATCTCAGAGCTCAGAAGTTCGAGGATGTCTCATGCGAAACGGGCCGGACCACCTCTCGCACGGCATCTCCGAGGTTAGAGTTTCGAGGATGTCTCAGGCGAAACGGGCCGGACCACCTTGCGTAAGGCATCTCAGAGCTCAGAGTTTCGAGGATGTCTCATGCGAAACGGCCCGGACCACCTCTCGCACGGCACCTCGGGGCTCAGAGATTCGAGGATGTCTCGAGCGAAACGGCCCGGACCACCTCTCGCGTGGCGTCCCGGAGCGCAACTTTTCGAGGATGTCTCAGGCGAAACGGCCAATCCTGGCCAACTCAGAAACGAGAGTTGTGAGGATGTCTCAAGCGAAACGGCCCGGACCATAAAATTTTTGTGAGGATGTCTCTGCTCCGACTTCCCTCGGCCGGAGTTAGCTTCTATCACAACAGCACCCCGTTCAGCAAGCTGTTTGGGGAATGATACGGAAAAAAGCCCCAGTCAAAGTCTTTTTAGGGCTATAGGGCTATGGGGATATTGGGCTATAGGGCGATGGGGCTATTGGGCTATGGAACTATAGGGCTATAGGGCCACAGGGTATAGGTCTATAGGTCTATAGGGCTAAATGGCTGTAGGGCCAAAGGGCTGTAGGGCTATAGGGCTATGGGGCTATAAGGCTGTACGGCTATGAGGCTATTGAGCTATAGGCTATTGGGCTGTGGGGCTACAGGGCTATAAGACCACAGGGCTATAGGGCTAGAGGGATATAGGGATATGGGGCTATAGGGCTACAGGGCTATAGGCATGTAGAACTATAGGGCTATAGGGCCATAAGGCTATAAGGCTATAGGGATATTGGGCTATTGGGCTATTGGGCCATAGGGCTATAAGGCTACAGGGTTATGGGGCTATAAGGCTATAGGGCTATAGAGCTATCGGGCTCTAGGGCGATAGGGCTATAAAGCTACAAGGCTATAGGGCTATACAGCTATATGGCTATTGGGCGTAAGGCTATAGGGCTATAAAGCTATACATAGGGCTATAGGGCCGTACGGCTTTAGGGCCACAAGCGTATAGGGCTTTGGGGCTATCAAGCACCCGGGCACCTGGGCGGGCCGCGGAAATCGGTGGCACACCTCACCTAACCATATGAATCCGCTATGATCCCTACAGAGGCAAGCTCTGTTTGGGGAATCAATGAGATCGCTGGATGTATGATAATGAAAAGGTCGGGACCACCATGGCCATGTCGGACGCTCTGGGCACCTATGCAGCATGCCGGGCAACCAATTTTCAAGGGATCGCCAATGCTGAGTGGTAAGACACGAGGGAAAAGCCGCGCGATGATGCAGATCTGTCGCCGCACCGCTCGTTCTCGACGCGCCCCAGTGGACGACGCCAGCACCACGGCAAACCCACGGCAGGCCCCGCGTCCCGCGCCCACGGAGACGACGCCCGCGCCGCGGCAAACCCCACCGGCAGACGCCCCGCGCCCGAGGCGCGCTTGCCATGGTGGCCGCGGGCGCCCTCTCCCAGACGCAGGGCCGCGCGTCGGAACAAACTGCGCGCCGGCATGCACGTGCCGTTCTTTTACTGTTGCCGGTGGCGCAGAGCACGGGTGTCGCCAGCTCCGTCGAGGGAGGCACCTGGCCCCCGCAGGTGCAGGCAGAGTTCGACGTCAGGATCCACTGCCGTACCGACCTCGAGGGCTACGTCATGTCCTTCAGGGAGGCTCGCCGCGGTAGCCAGATATGAGGCTAGGGTGCGCCGTCCGCGGCCTGCGGCCTTGTTGACAAGGGATGGTGGTCTGTTGAAATATAAGATGGTGGAAGGGGGACGTCTGAGGGGACCGTGCTGGTGGCGGAGGTGGTACCCCGCAAATGCGCTGCCCAACTACGGCCCCACCCTCTCTGCCGCCGCAGTGTATGTAGTCGTGTAGTTCGTTCGAACACTGCGGATTCGGTCCGATCGCGTGAGCGCAGCAGCAGGAGGAGAGGGATTCGGGGAGGAGGGCGCGGACGATGAAAGGAAGAATGAGGAAGAGGGGGCGGTGACGTCGGAGAAACATCTGGCAAGGCGTATGGGGGACCTTTCGCGGGCGTCTGGGCCCCTCCACCCGCCATGACGGAACGATCGGGGGCCGACGCGTGGGGGCGGCAAGGCCTCCGCCTCTTCGGCCGCCTCCTCCTGCTCGTCGGCCACCTCCGCCCTGGCGCTGACTGGTAGCCACGGCTGGAGGTGCCTCCTGGCGCGACGGCGCTGGTCGGCAGCGAGACGCCACGAGAGCGCGCAGAGGGCCGCGAACGAACGCGGAAGTTCGCTCAAAAGGTGGGGCTCTGAAAGACCAGCCTGGGCGGGCCGAAACCGTGAAAATCATCATGGCGGTGGTACAGACCATGATGATGAAGCCGGCGATGATGGCGCGTGTAGGGTAGAAATCAGGGTGCAATTCTGGATGGGCGCCAAGCTGGGTCAACGATTCCGGGCCTGAGGTCAGCAAGCTGAGCCATGTGAGCAGAGGCATGGAAAAGGGGGGGGCGGGCAGATTTGAAGAATTCTTGTGCCGCCCGGGTAATCGCAACGGAGAAGCACAATATAGTGTGTGAGAGAGAGAGAGAGAGAGAGAGAAATATAATCCAAAATAAATAGAGAGAAAACTGAGAGAGAGAGAGAGAGACCTAGACAAGGGGACAAGGAGGCACAATGCATGACTAGACAAGGCATGTTTTCCATTCCGCGCAGAAAGCGGGAGACGCTGGGACATCAATGTCGGTCGGTGCTAGTCGCCTAGATACCGCAGTACAGCGCAAACGTGTGCAAGCGAGGCGACACAACGCGCGTGGTTGCAAAGAAAAGAAGCCCGAAAACCAGACGTCATGCACAAACACACAAGGCTATTCCCCGTGTGTTCCGTCACCGCCCAAGTCACGGAAGGAATGTCGCGCATTCTAAATGTCTTTTGTTCCTTCAGTAAAGTATGCGCGCCTTTGCGAGACAAGTGATATCCTCCACAAAGGACGGAGCGAGAAAGCACGAATTAAATAGAAAGCCTGCCGCTCATGACGTAATGAACGCACTTTCCAACTCCTGCTAAGAAGAACCCAGCTCTGGAAGGAAGCCCCCGTTCTCACAGAAGTAGCAGCTCGTTCCTGCCTAGACGGCGCGGGCCCTGGGTTCCGAGACCGCGCGACTCGTTCAATCTGCAACGATCTCCGCTCCGGCAGGTCCCTGGAGGCGGTTAACCTACTGTCTCTCTATGATTTTCGCGTCGTGAGCTGCTCACTGTGGCCCCGGGCCCGAAGCAGGGCCTCAGGTCCACGGCGGACCCCAGAGGCCCCCAAAGGTCCATAGAGGCCCGGAAGCCAGAAAAAGGGCCCGAATCGCCCCAAAACTTCGGTCCCATGAGTATCGTTTGACCGATCCCCATCCCCAACGCCGTGGCCTGGGCCCCACTGGCTGATTTACCCCCCTAGATGGGAATGTAGGTCGTTCCGTTCGGGTTTCGAGGGGTGTATCCCCAACTGGGGGGGTAAGTTGGTGGGTGTCTCGAAGGGGATGGGGATGGGGATGAGGGTTGGTTGAACGATACTGAAAAAAGGGCCCGACTCGCCCCAAAACTTCGGTCCCACGCGGAGGCGGCCGTAGCGCGCGGCAGCGTGCCCAGGCCGAATTCGGAGCCTCGTAAGCCGGAGGGGCCGCCCCCTGCACGCGCCCCCGCAGGCCCGAGCTCGTGCCCTCCCCCAGGCCCGGCGCGAACGTAACCACCCCGGAACTGAAGACCTCTCATGCTGCTGATCCCTGAGATCCTCATCCTACTCCGCTTTCCTCCGCATCCTCCTCTGTCCTCCTCCCCTGTCCTCCTCCTCCTCCGACTTCCGCTTCTGCTTTCCTCCTCCTCCTGCTCTTTCCTCCTTCTCTTCTTCCCTCCTCCTCCTCCTCCTCTCGTCCTCCTCCTCCTCTCGTCCTCCTCCTCCTCTCGTCCTCCTCCTCTGAATCCTCTGAATCCTCTGTCATCTGTCCTCTGTCCTCTGTCCTCTGTCCTCCTCCTCCTCCCCCTCCTCCTCTTTGCTTCCCTGCTCCTCCTCTCTACTCCTTCATCCTCCTCCCCTCCGGAGACCTCCGGAGCCTTCCAAAGGCCTCCTCGAGGCCTTCAGAGACCCCCAAAGCCCTCCGGCTTCGGATCTGGGGGCGTCGTGGAGCACCGACGACGGGCGTATTTGTCCCGACTTCGGGTTCCTGAAACGCCGCAGAAAGATGGGGTCGGGGCTCGGGTCGTGATCTTTCTCGACATTCCCTTCTCAATGCTTGCACTGAAGGGGTCCTAGCGGAAGTTGAAAGATTTGGCGAAAATTTCCCGCCGATTTTGCTAGCAAGCTGGGTTCCCAAATTTCCGGTTCCGGGTTCCCGGGTTCCCGGTTATTGGTTCCGGGCCGATTTCGGTGGGTTCTGGGTTCCTGGGCTCCCGGGTTCACGGTCGATCTCCTCAGCGAAAACCATCCACTGATTGGGGTTTTTCTCTGGTTTAATTGTCTATTTCGCGACGACGGAATTCCAAAATGATCTGCGTTTTTTCACTCTGGCTCTCGTTGAAGCCCTGCCAGGCTTCATGCTCGGTAGATTGGCTCAAGACGTTGAGGCTTGAAACATGCAGTCCTTCGCACCCCCCAACACGCAACACGTAGCGTATTGATACGGAGCTCAACACGTAGACGGAAATCGGAGGCCTGACGCGATACGTTCGCCAAAACGTGATCCAATACGCTGAGCCAACACGCAATGTATTGACACGGACGCTTCGAGCACGGTACGTGTTGCATAGCACTGGCCATCGCTCGGACGTCCATTTCCTGTGTTTTTTTCAGTTTCGTGCGTGGTTTTTTCGCGAAATGATCACGGATGCTCCTCGATGGTCCTCGCCGAAGGAAAAATGCACACGTCCGAGCGATGCCAAGAGCAAAACGGACGCATCAAGGCAGCTAAGGTGCAGCCCGGTGGGGCCCATACGAGCGCTGGGCGCCACGCGGAGCGCGAGGCGCGGTGATCTTCGTGCCCTCGGGCGTCGAACTGCTCCCAGCCCAGGCCGCGACGCGGGAGGTGCGGTGATCCTCGCGCCCGTCTGGGCGAGCCAGGCTCCGGGAGCGGCCAAGAGGGGGGGGTGTAAATCATGACCGTCGGCGTGTGCGCGGCCCAGCGGGGGGGCCAGGGACAGAATGAAATAAGAAGAGGCGCCATGAAATCTGGGGAAATATCATGGCCCCCGCCATGATATCCACCCCCCCCTAGTCATCACCCCCCTCATTTCCGCCTCCGAAGACTAGCGGTCGCATCTTTTACATGAATGGCTGTTCGAGGCGGGCCGATCCGTGGGGGTTCCTTGGGCCCGAGGCCATGGCTTGCCCACGGCCCAGGATCTGTGGGCTTGGCCCTTTGCCCTTTGCCCTTTGCCCGTCGTCGCTGACGGCGACGACGATGAAGACCACGACAATGATGACGACGAAGACGACAAAAGTCGTCGATGATGACGACTACGATGGCAACGCCGACGATGACGCCGCCGACGGCGGCGGGGGCCGATCGGAGCCCCGCGCCGCGGGCGCGCTCACGCCGGGCCGCGGCCGCGGCTCTTGCTGCGCGCCCGGGCCGTGGATCGGGCGCAGGCCGCGGCGGCCCGCACGAGCCCCGAGGCGGCGCCCGGGTTGGCCTCTGCCGACGGGGCCGTGGCCCTCTCTGAGGCTCCTCCTCCTGCGCTCCGTGCAGCGTGCTCGGGCCTCGTCCCTTGGGGAGCCTCCTTCGTTCTGGGCGTGTTCGTGGGACGCACAGAGACATGCTAATATTAAATGTCCTCCTTGGAGGCGCGCGTCCGACCCGAACATACAGTATACCCATCTTGTAGTGTATCGTTTCCCGAGCGGTGTGGCCAGAAAGCGCCCGCCACGACGCGTGCACTGTAAGATTTCTCGGTGCGCGCGTCGCCCCTGGGGGCGCGACGCACATACAGTTGAAGTATGCTGGGGTGACGCCGATGTGCGGGCCCTCTCTTGGCCCCTGCAGGCCTCCTGGAATTTGTCCTGGGGCCCGGCAGCAGGGCGGCCGCTCATGTGCTTCTCGGTCGTGGTGATTTTTGCAAGAGCTCGCAGGCGGGCTGAACGGTGGCTGCCGCGTCGGGCTCTCACGCCACACTGGTGTCGGTGAAATCGGCGTTGGAGTGCATGGGCTACCTCACGCAACGAGTATTCCGTGGAATGGTCAACGACGTACAGTGATCAAACTTGGTCGTGGGACGTCAACGTGTTTTTTCCCATGCGTTCTGCTGGGGACGTTGAGGGTGAAGGCGCGAAGGCGCGTGCATCGCCTCACTCACTCAGTCACTCACTCACTCCTGGAGAATCAAACAGCAACGTACACATGAACTTTCGCAGGTCCGCACGGATTCAGTGTGTCGGCGATTGGCCACCCTCCCCACCGCGCCGAAGTCGGCGCCAGAGGCACCGCCAGGGGCGGGGTCCCTCTTTCAGTGTCTCCTTTTTGGCCGTCTTACTCCTCCTCCTCCTCCTCCTCCTCCTCCTATGATTCCTCTTGCTTCTCTCGCCTCCCTCCTCCCTCCTACCCCTCCTCTTCGCTCTCCTGCCCCTCTGTCGCCTCGCCCCTCCCCTCTCCGCCCCCCTCCGAGCCTGCGAGGCCCCTCCTCGTTGCCGTCGTCGCGCTGTCGTTGTCGCGGCCGCTGCCGTCGTCGTGGTCGCCTCCCGCCCCGGACATCGACCCCCGCGCCCCTCTCGGAGCGCGCTCGGGGCCAGGATCTCGAGGCGGACCTGGCCGTGGCGGCGAGACGTCCCAAAGGGGGCCCGACGAACGGCAAAACGCTTCTCCTCCTCCTCCTCCTCCTCCTCCTCCTCTCCTCCTCCTCTCTCCTCCTCCTCCTCCTCCTCCTCCTCCTCCTTCTCCTCCTCCTTCTCCTCCCTAGAACTCTCCAGCGGTCTCCTGCGGTGTCCCGAAGCCCCCGAAGGGACAAAAGCATTCCAAAGCCTCAGGCCTCCTCCGCCTGCTCCTCCCTCCACCTCGGCCTCCTCCAGGGCGTCGTGGTCGTCGTGGCCGTCGCCGTCGTCGTTGCCGTCGTTGGTGGGCCGTCCCTGAGAGGAGCCCTGGAGACGGCGCGCGGCCTTCGCAGCGGCCGCGGCGGCATCCGCCAGCCCCACGCCCACAGCAGGGTCCTACCGATTGGTCGTCGTCGGCTTTGTCTTTGTCTTTGTCTTCGTCACCGTCGTCATCGTCGTCCAGGATCAAAGATCAGGGATGGATCTCGCCGGGGACCGAAAATCGGGAAGGGACCGATCACACACACACACACACCCACACACTCACGCACACACACGCAAACACACGCAAGCACGCACGCACGAACACACACGCACACACACACACACGCAGCACGCACGCACGCAGCACACGTACGCAGCGCACGCAGCACACGCACGCACGCACGCGCCCGCGCACGCACGCACGCGCGCACGCACGCACGCACACACACCCACACACACACACCCACACACACACCCACACACACACACACCCACCCACACACACCCACACACACACACACCCACACACACCCACACACACCCACACACCCACACCCGCACACCCGCACACCCGCACACCCGCACACACCCACACATCCACATACCTACACACCCACACACGCACACGCACACGCACACACGCACACACGCACACGCACACGCACACGCACACGCACGCACGCAACACGCGCGCACACGTACACGCATTCGCACGCACGCAGCGCACGCAGCACACGCACGCACGCACGCACGCACACACGCACACGCGCGTTCGCGCGCGCACGCACCCACGCACCCACCACACACACACCACACACCACACAACACACAACACACAACACACACACACACCACACACACCGCACACAACGCACACACACCACACACCACACAACTCACAACACACCCCACACAACATTCAAACACACAACACACACAACACAAAAAAACACACAGACACAACACACGAACACACACACACACGCGCACACACGCACGCACACACGCACACACGCACACACGCACACACGCACACACGCACACACGCACACACGCACACACGCACACACGCACACACCCACATACCGACACACGCACACATGCACGCACACACACACGCACAAACGCACACGCACACACACACACACACCACACACGCACACACGCACACACGCACACCCGCACACACACACACACACGCACGCACGCACACACGCACGCACACACACACACACGCGCGCGCACACGCGCACACGCGCACACGCGCGCACACGCACGCACGCACACACGCGCACGCGCGCACACGCGCACACGCACACATGCGCAGTCGCGCACACGCGCACACGCGCACACACACACACGCACACGCGCACACGCACACACGCGCACACGCGCACACGCGCACGCGCACGCGCGCACAGGCGCACACACGCACATGCGCATACGCGCACAAGCGCAAATGCGCACACGCGCCCACGCGCACACGCGCACACGCGCGCCCGCGCACACGGGACATGCGCACACGCGCACACGCGCACACGAGCACGCGCGCACGCGCGCCCGCGCGCCCGCGCGCCCACGCGCACGCGCGCGCACACGCGCACGCGCGCACGCTTTCACACGCGCACGCGCACACGCGCACGCGCGCACACGCGCGCGCGAGCACACGCGAGCACGCGCACACGCGCACACGCGCACACACGCACGCCCACGCGCGCGCACGCGCACTCGCGCACGCGCGCACACGCGCCCACGCGCACGCGCGCACGCGCGCACACGCGCACACGCGCACACGCACACACGCACGCACGCGCACACACGCACACGCACACGCGCGCACACGCGCAGACGCGCGCACAGGCGCGCGCGCGCGGACGCGCACGCGCGCGCACGTGCACACGCGCGCGCGTGCACACGCGTGCGCGCATGCGCACGCGCACACGCGCACGCGCACGCACGCGCGCACGCGCACGCGCGCACGCGCACGCGCACGCGCAAGCCCACGCACGCACGCACACGCACACGCAACACACACACAAACACGCACGCGCACACGCACGCGCACACGCACGCGCACACGCAAGCACGCGCACACGCACACGCACACGCACACGCACGCGCACACGCACACGCACACGCACACACGCACGCACACGCACGCGCACAACGCACGCACAGCGCGCACAGGCGCACACACACGCGCACACACACGCACACACACGCACACATGCACACCCACGGCCACACACACACGCCCACACACACACACGCACACGCAAACACGCACACACGCACCCGCACACGCACACGCACGCGCACACGCACGCATACGCACGCGCACGCGCACACGCAAACGACCACGCACACATACACGCACACACGCACGCACGCACACACGCACACGCACACGCACACACACGCACACGCACGCACACGCACGTGCACGCATACGCGCACGCAAACACACGCACACACACGCACACTCACGCACGCGCAGACGTACACACGCACACACACACGCACACACGCCCGCACGCGCACGCACACGCACACGCGCGCGCACACGCACGCGCACACGACGCGCACGCGCACACGCACGCGCGCGCACACGCACGCACGCACCCGCACACGC